CTGCTTTAAGAAGGGCTACATGCCAACAAAAATTGATTCCCGTAGTATTGGGTTCAGCTTATAAAAATGTAGGCATACAGAAGTTAATGGACGCGGTTAATGATTATTTGCCCGCGCCAGATGAGCGCAATCTGTTATATGATTGCTTCGAGTAAGTACCATGGCGAAATATGATTTGGAAAGTAAGTAATGAATCATATTTTATAGGAACGATTTTGCAGGTAAAGTTTTCAAAATAATACATGACACGCAGAGAGGAGCTTTGACGCTGGTACGTGTCTTAAGGGGAGAAATGAAGAAAAATATGCGTATAATTTCTGACAAAGGGCAGGCAGAAGTCGTGTCTAAAATCTACGAACCTTTGGCCGATGAATATAGGGAAATTAATAACGTACAAGCCGGAGATGTAGCCATTTGCTCTGGTTTAAAGGTATATAAGACGAGCACCACAATACTTCTAAGTACCCACCACTGTAGTTTAATATATGAGAGTAGTAAAGTACTTTATTTATCAAAATTATTTGTGAATAGTGACGCTCGAAGTTACAAGTTACAGTACATACTGCTAAGCGAAAGGCAGACGGACTGAAAAAGTGCTACACTTTACAGTGACTTTCAATCATATATCTGAGTTTGACTTTCCCTTTTAGACGGTGGCTATAAAATAATATTTAATTTGTAGCTTAAACTATGTTTTTTCTTTTAGCATACGGTTACAGGAGATTTATTGGTCACCAGTACTACTTCATTGAAGAATGCCCAGAAACGTTTAAATAAATTGGTGGACAAAAATTCATCTATCTTGCAAAATATTCCCAACACAGAATTTGAGGATCTAAGCTTCGATTTGCTTAATGAAGTTTGCTGCTTGGAAACTCACATACCCGATCCTGTTTATTTTTGCTCTATAGAACCGCCCAGCATAGCCAAGCAAAATGCTATGGAAATAGCTTTGAAACAATTGCAGCGTGAAGATCCAAGCCTACGGGTTACCTATGATCCGGTCACAGGACAAACTGTACTAGGAGGCATGGGAGAGCTACATATGGAAATTATAAAGTCACGTATTTTAACTGAGTACAAAATCGATGCCGACTTGGGGCCTCTACAAATTGCCTATAAGGAGACGATAGAAAATCCTGCCAAATCAACGTTTAATATCGAAAAAGAAATAGCCGGTTCAAAGCAAAATGTTTCCGTCACTTTGGAACTTACCAAAACTAGTAAGCACATTTTCAGTTTAGATAAATCCCCGGAAAATGCCCAAAATTTGCAAAGTTTAAGGCCAAAAACTTTACAAATGCTGCGTAAAGCTTGTCTGGCTGCTTTGGAAAGAGGACCAAAAGTGGGTGGTCAAGTGGTCGATACGCAAATATGTTTGCATAATATTAACATAGGGCGAGGAACGGCAGATTCTTTTGTTATGGCAGCGGCCGGTCAATGCGTACAAAAGGTAACTCATTTACTTTGATGCAGGGATTCAGTTACCGTAGCTTAAAAAAATTAATTCTTAAAAAGTTTGAAAAGATTATTCCGACCTATCTGGAAATTTTTTACAAAAATAATCGGGAATGTTTACTAAACTTACACAATGTTTTTCATTAAGGTGGACATATAGGCCTCAATATATAAATTCCTCAGTGCTTTGAAAAACAATCTCCCGAAAAAAAGTTGTTCCTTATTAAACTTTGTTTTTAAAAGCTCCATTTTCCTTACATCTGCCTAACGTGGTTATATTGAATTTTACGATTTGATTTCGTATATAAAAAAATAATGATCTATATTGGCACGTAGACCGCACCAAATAGTAGCATTTGATGTAAGACGCCGGGGCAACACCTTGCTCAACTGCTCAAATGTTGCTCTTAAGTGACGATATTGGGTTAGAAAAGAGTACTTTTGCCATGGACTCTGTCATCATTAGTAATAGAGCTTAGGGGAAGTATGCTTAAGATCGTGTTTAAAACTTGTTGGGTTTCAATTTACGCGAAAGGCGCGAAATCAATGAAATTTGGATATAATCTTCTTGTCTTGTAGTCTTGGCACGCTCGACCAGGAAAAGATTTTAAAAAGCATGTGACTAAATCCCATAGAATTATTCTTTAAAAAATTTGGATAATACGCCACTGACTTAGAAAGAGACAGATTAAAAGAAATTGCCACGACAACATTCGAAAAAAAAAGTAACCTTTTGTAGGTACTTCGCAGACTGTAAATACATTATAGCACTATGTTCCCTTTACTCGCTCAATTTTTGCTCTCCTGTCTAATGCGATTTGTAGTTATAAACTTGTTTCATTTTCAGATTTTAAGTGACAGCGGTACCCGCCTTTTGGAGCCGATTATGTCCATACAAATCATTGCGCCCAATGAGAAAATCTCAAGTATTTTAGCTGATTTATCGAGAAGACGGGCTAACATTAACGATGTCTTACCAAAAGGAGATAAATATAAGGTTTTTAATTTTTCTTCCTTTTCTTGTAACAATTATATCGCATGTTGTACCAATTCTAATTTTACAAAATATTTTCAGTCTGTTTTAGTCGATGCTCCCCTAGCTGAGCTTTCTAACTACTCAAGTGTCTTGCGTACTATTAGCTCAGGGACCGCTAGCGTAACGATGCAGCCGAACGGTTTCCTACATATGCATGTTAATCAGGAAGAGCTAGCTATAAGAAAAGTTCAAGGCTTAGAATAACTACTCGAAAATTGTTATTTATTATAAATATACATAAAATTTTATAAATACGTAAAAAGCGGAAAAAACCTTATAAGTGCGAATGTGAAATATGAGAAAAAATAAACAAATTTCTATACTATTCAATTAGACGCATATTCACAACAACTAGATCAACATATAGACCGTGTCTTTTACTAAAACTGAAAGCGAGCAGGTGCCAAAATGAATATGAAGGAAGGAAGGAGGTTGCCATCGCTTGGACATGAAACACCCATTGGAATTATAACACCAGCAGATGTAAAATGAAAAACGCATCTGGAATTTCGTAAATTGTGTTACTCATTTATTTCTCTACTTGTATGTGTGTTAGAATATGGGATCGGTTTACGGCATCGTTATGAAAGAAAAAAACAACTTTCATTAATTTTATCAATATTTGACTTTATCCCTGATATCGAGGAAACATTCGCACGCTACGATCATCTCAAAACGCAAATTCGATATCGAGTTTGCTCGTAAGCCAACGCCTGTTTTTGAAAAGCTTATCATCACCAAAAATGAAATAAAAAATTATAACCTATTG